TGGAGGGATGGACACTGGAAGAGGTAACTATGGGGAGGAAGTGGGAGGGGAGCTGTTGCATTGTAAATTTTGATCAATGACATGAGACAAAGTATATTATGTGAACTGCTGTATGAAAAGTGAATTTACTCTGTAAATCTTCACCCAAATCAAAATAAAATTTAAAAAAAGAGGGAGAAACCAAACCAAAACCAGACTCACTGCCATCAAGTCGATTCTGACTCATAGCCACCCCCACTGGGTTTCTGAGGCTGTACGTGTTTATGGAAGTAGATTGCCTCATCTTACTTCTGCGAAGCAGCTGGTGGGTTTGAACTGCTGACCTTCTGATTAGCAGCCAAATCCCTTATCCACTACACAACCAGAGCTCCTTAAAAGAGGGAGAGAAGATAGAATTGTCCCATCACTCACACTGTTGTGTGAATTCCCCTTCCTCGCCTCCATGATTCTCTGTGGTCAGAACCCAAACCTCCCAATTAGGAATTACAGAGCCAGGAATCTGGCAGTCAGTCGCAAGCTCACCACCTTCCCTCCATTCTCCAGCCTTCGTGACTGACGACAATGCCTTGATATTTGAGGAGCACCAGGTCTGCTCCAACGTCAACCTGTACCACATCCTGCAGACCATAGAGAGCAGAGGGCTGTTTCTGGAGGATGAGAACAAGTTCATCTTCTGCAATGTCCTGGTGGGCCATCAGGCCAAGGCCCGGTTCAAAATCAGCAATGTGGGAAAGATTGCCTGTGATGTGACCATCGTGGTTAAGCCTGTCTCCAGTAAGGTAAGTCACTCCAAATGCCCGTGGCCCACCTTGGCTGGTGTCCAGCCAGGGAAAGAGCGCTGGGAAACCCTTGCTCTGGAGCATCTATATATGAGAGGAAATTGTCCTGCTGGAAACTGTGTGAGGTAACCAGGCAGTTTCTCCTAGACCAAGGGCCATATATTTGTCACATTGGTGTCTGGTCTGGGTAACTCTGTGATAAACTAATACACACAAGTGAGCAACTCCATCCATCAAGCCCTCACTGTCGCCCACGGTATAGAAAGTGTTGTGGGGAGACAGACCCACAGATCTCTCCAAAGGTGTCTAGCAGATGTGGCTGGGCTAGCCAAATCACCGTGATATGTCTAGGTGGGGATTTCTTTTTATTTATCCTGCTTGGAGTTTACTAGACTTCTTGATTTGTCAGACTGATATCTTGAATCAATGCTGGAAAATCTCTGGTGTGTCTTCAGATATGAATACCAGTTTCAGACAGGCCTGCATATTTTTGGGGTATTAGAGAGATGTAGGAGGTTGCAAATTACAAAGAGAAAGTGAAATGATGAGCATTTATTGAGTGCCCCCTATATGCCAGGCACTGTGTTTCATTTAACCCTCATAACTCAAAGTTTATATGTTGTTGTTGTTGTTAGCTGCTAGAGTTTATATAATTATCCCCATTCACAGTTAATGAAGCTCAGAAAGATGAATTTTTTCCTATAGGTCCCAAAGCCTAGGGATTTAGAGTGAGGTTTAAAGCTATTCTTCATCCATGTACCAAGTAGATAATCTCTGTCTCAGGGTCTGCCTGGCCCCAAAGTGCCTTTGCTCTGAGTCAGGCCAACTGAGATCCTTTTCCTTATAATGGAACAGGTAATACAGGATACTGGGGAGAGGGCTTGGTCAACAGGTTTCCCTTGTTGTTGTTGTTATTTGCCGTTGAGTCAGATCCAACTCATAGCGACCCCTCCTTGGGTTTCCGAGGCAGTATCACTATGGAAGTAGATTGCCCATCCTTCCTTCCGAGGAGTGGCTGGTGGGTTTGAACTGCCAGCCTTCTGGTTAGCAGTCAATGCCTCAGGCACTATGCTACAAGAGCTCTCAGGTTTCTCTTACTCACCCTTAATTTCCAGTCAAATGTGCAGCTGCTTCCAGCTCTCTGCCCAAAGGTGGGATCTTGGTCTGGGTGGCCCTGATGCCCCAGAGCTGGCATTGTTCACTGGGTGCTGGTGGTGGAGGCCACAGATGGGTTGACCTCAGCTGCAGAGTATGGTGTGCATTCCTGAGTGACTCACTGGACAGCGTGGAGTTGGGGGTTCTCTCTAACTCCTTGTATGACTCCATTACTGTGTGACCTAATTTGGGACAGTTTGAGAGGCAGGTTTCTTTCTATTCTGTACCAGAAATGTAAAAAAGAACAAACGTGATTTCTAAACAGAAAGAGACTGTTAATGAGATTTGCAGACATTATGTGTTTTCCTCCCTAATTTGCAGACTCAGAGGTTATCCCTTAAAAAGAGCAAAGAAGCCTGAGTACTCTGAGCTTAAGAACAAGAAGGAACAGTCCATCTTGAAGCCACTTGTTTCCCATGAAAACAAAACGTCCTTTCAGAGCTGCACGAGGGTCTCAGCCCCATGTTGTGGATGTGCCCTCAGTCTCCCCAGAATCTGCCACAAGAATGGGACAGATAAAGTGTCGGGGAGCTTGTTCTAGCCAAGGTCTCAGCCCCTTGTTGTGGATGTGCCCTCAGTCTCCCCAGAATCTCCCACAAGAAAGGGACAGATAAAGTGTCGGGGAGCTTGTTCTAGCCAAGGCTCTGGGAGTTGCAAGGAGCAGAAACCCACCAGGTTAGCCAAACAAGGCAGGGTTTATGGCGATGAGTCAGAGATCTCAGACACACCGGTAGCCAGACCTCTTTGGAACTGGAACAGTCACCTGAAAGCCAGCACTCAGAGGACCAGCAGATACTCCATCCACCCCTCAGCAGCCACGTGTGGTCTCTCACCTGTGGTGTCTCTGCTTCTCTCTGGGCATCTGCTCCATTCTCCAGTCTGGCTTCCTCGACAGGCGTGTGGTTCATGCTTCCAGCTGAGCTCCACATCAGCAGCCGCCAACGATCTCTGGCAGCTCGACTGAGCTGAGATAGAAAGATAGATAGATACAGTGAGAGAGAACTGTCCGACTGACTTAGTTCATCTATTTGAATCAGTACTCACGGATCTAGCCAAGTTCAACCAAGTATTACTCAAGGTCAGGTCCCAAAATATCTAGCTGCTCCTTCTAGGGACCATGACTACACAGGCCCTGGAGTATCTACCACAGAGCTTAGAGGGTGGGAGTGCACAGCAGAGGCAGTAGAGACGAGCTGCAAGCCCTGTGTAAATGCAAAGCATCTAACACAACCTGGTCCTTGCTCTTCCATCCCAGGCCGTTGCGCGAATCACCGACATCTTTGAAGTGGAACCCAACAAGATGTGTGTTGCCAGTCGCTCACATGCCTTTGCCACGGTGTCCTTCACCCCCCAGACCATGCAGGCCTACCAGTGTATCTTCGAAGCCTCCCTGGATGGCTTGCCCAGGTACCGACTCCCTCTCCTGCAGCAGGACTTGAAGCCGCACCCTCGGTGGAATGCCACTGCTGCCAGGCCAGGCTGACAGATCTTGGTCTCACTGTTCCCCTGCAGCAACCTGACCAAGAACCGAAGCCTTGTGTTTGACATCGTGGGAGAGGGTAACCTCCCTCGAGTGACTGTCGTGCGGCCGATTCTCCATAATCAACACGGAAACCCCTTGCTCCTTTTTAAGAGACTTCTGCTCGGTCATTCAGAGACACTACCCCTCATCCTTAAGAACAATGGCACCATCCCAGCCCAGGTAATACTGGAGAGTGCACGGCATGGCACGGGAAAGGAGTCACTCAGCAGTTAAACATCTCACACTGGCATCTCTCCCATCCCTGAGTGTAGGACATGGGGCGTGCACAGGGGAAGCAGTGTGGTCTGTACCCTCAAGGAATGTAGGAAACAGGTTCCACAGTTCACCAGTACTGCTGTGTGAGGCGGTGTGCAGTGTATTCACAGAGCCGAGAAGGACTACGGGTGTTCTTAGTGTCATTATTGTCTCTTTCTTTTTATTTATTCGTTTGTTTTGTTTTCTTTTCTTTCTGCCCTGAATGTTTCTTTTGTAATAAGGAAAACACAATACAAGAAACCGCATCGGGAGGTAGCAATTCAGCATCTGCAGGGACCTTAGTTCTTCAATTAAACTATGTTTTTATTTTATGCACACAAAAAGTGATACATTTTGTATTACACAAGCAATTTAAGGCACTGTGATGTCACAATGTTTAAAGCACTTGGCCGCTAACCAAAAGGTTGGTGGTTTGAACCCACTAACTGCACCATGGAAAAAAGATGTGGCACTTCCGTAAAGAGTACAATCTTGGAAACCCCATGAGGCAGTTCTACTCTGTCCTGTGGGGTCACTATGAGTTAGAATCAACTCAGTGACAGTTTTGGGTTGTTTTTTTTTTTGATACACAAAGAACTGTAGGACTTTTGAAAAGGACCTACTTCTATCTAGGAGGTCAAGGAAAGAATTCACTAACGTGATGACATTTGAGCTGGGCACTGAAGGATAGCTGGTTCTCTCTTCGCACCTGGGATGTGGTTTCTGCCACACCCACTTGATTAAAAACTCTGTGATGCTTTTAAGATTTCTTACATAGTTGGTCTAGTATTTTTTTTCTTCTCTTGAATCTGCATTATCTGGTCTACCATTACTCTGCATTGCTATCATTATTGTGGCTTCAAAAATGTTTTGCATTTAGTTCAATGAATTCCAGCCAATTTACACCCCTTTTTATAATTTTTCTTAACAATTTTTGGCTATTTAGTCAAAACAACTTAAGGCACCCTGCTGATACAGTAGTTAAAGCACTTGGCTGCTAACTAAAAGGTTAGCAGTTCAAACCTATTAACCAACCGGTCCATGGGAGAAAGGCTGTGTAGTCAAAAGTATATTTAGATGAACAATGAAATCATTTTTATAATGTTCCTCAAGAAAATACTATTGGGAGAGGCAGGGCAAGATGGCGGACTAGGCAGAAGGATTGCACAGACCCTCTTCAACAAAGAAAAGGGAAACCAATTAACACAGACACAGAAGATAATCTTGG